CCCCCCCTTTATAAAAAAAAAAAAGTGGGCTCCCCCAAAGTCCACGGTATAGTTCGAACACTGATTGCATGTGACATTTACTAGCAATTTCTGATTAAAAATTGTTTCTACACCAATTTTTTTCCAGTCTAGCGAGGCAAGGAGAAGATCCATTACACATAACGACTAAGATTTAAGTCAGTTTTTCACACACTGAAAAATATTTAGTGTAGGATTTACCTTGAAACAGTTTTCACTCAGAAATTGCTAGTTAATTTCACAAATGTGACCCTGGACCACAAAACCAGTCATAAGGATCAATTTTTTGAAATTGAGATGTATCCATTATCTGAAAGCTGAATAAATAAAAGAAAGCTGTTTGCTAGGATAGGACAATATTTGGCAGAGATACAACTATTTGAAAATCTGGAATCTGAGGGTGCAAAAAAAATAACTCTTAATGCACTCTTATCTATTTGTGTCAATAGATTTCAATTTCAGTATGTATCTTTAAAGGGTTTTTCAGTAGCACCAAAACAGTTTTATTCCTATCTCCTATCTACACTGTACAAAAAGTTGTAAGATTACAAGTAAATACCATTTTAGTTTTTCTAATTCAAAAAGCAGTTTCTTTGTAATTATAATATGTGACCCTGGACCACAAAAAAGGTCAATTTTTTTTAAAAATTGAGATTTCTGCATCATCTGAAAGCTGAATAAATAAGCTTTGCATTTTTTCATGGCTGTTGACAGATTTGTGGTGTGACAAACGAGATATATCCAAAATCCCTTTTGTAAAAACATTTAACTCTATTGTGTTTTTGGAGTAAATGGGGACAAAATGTCATTTTTTTGTGAATGATTCTAGTAAATCAACTCTAAATGCATTTGTGTTGCATGCCTTTGACTCTAAAAAAAAAAAAGCTCTAAAAACAACAGTTTAAACGTGTTATTAGTAACCCAATTTAACATGAAATTTTGTAGCAAAAAGACCGAAATATTTTCTTGTAAAAAGTATTCAAGTAATCTTTCTTATAGTTACGACTTTGTGTCATTCGTATGAAGCTTCAAATATAGGACATAAATCATATGGACTACTTTTACGGCGCATGGACATTATGCAAATGATCTGTTTTCATGTTCCACTGGTTTAAAATGATGTGTGAACTATGCCTTTTTGGATCAGTGTAAGGTCTTAAATCATTCAAACAGTTCTGTTATCATCAGTGCTTCCCTAAACATCTTCAGTTTGACCTGGAGAATGGGACCTGTGGTTCCTTAGAATTACCTGTTGTGTTCCTCACAGCACAAAACAGCCTGATCTGGTCGCCATGACAACGCCATAGATGCACTGTCTTTCCTCAAAGACCCCTAACTTATTTCAAAGACCCGTAGTCATTCAAGGACATGCCAGCAAGACCCAGAGTCTTGTGGAGCTGACGTTAT